TTTTTTTTTTTTTTTTTTTTTTTTTTGAAAGCACGAGAGAAATCTGCCTTGGTTGTTTTTGGTTTCTGAAATTATTTAGTTTGCAAAATTAAAATTTGCACAATTTTCTTATGATCTCGACAAAAGTACTCAGAATCATTTTGGTCTGATTACATAAAACTCTCGTCACCTTTCAATTTCAACTGAATTTGCCTTGGTTTGATTTGTACGCAAAATATGTTTTCTAAAATCATATGTGATGCTTTTGATTTCTTGAATTGTGGGTGTGTTTGATTTGACTGAATTCATCTTCCATAGAAAATATTTTCTTGGAAAATGTTTTCTGGTGTTTGGTTTGTTGAGTGGAAATTTGGCTTTTTAATATATATAAATAAGTTGGAGAGTGTTCTGATGTAACTTTTGAGTATTAGATATTAATAATAATGTTTAAATGTTAGTTGAAGCAAGTAATACCAAGTTAAAGTTAAGGTAGTTGTAAGGAAAATGATTTTCGCTCACAAGTAAGGGAAGTCATTTTCCTCCTTTTGATGGAAAATGTTTTCCATGGAAAATGACTAACACTAGAAAATGACTTTTCCATGGAAACATTTTCTTGGAAGTCATTTTCCCTCATACCAAACACATTTCCTGTGTCTAGCATGTTGAAAGCTAAGGAAAATAGCGTAGCTCTTAATGTGAAGAATGTATGATCTTAAGCTTAAGTTATATCTTAAACGGCTGTTCTAGCATTACTTTGAGACCGAATGAGACGCTTTCTCTCTAGTTACTTAATTTCCTTTCCTTTTGGCTCTGAATGATTTTATCTATGAATGAATGTTTTGTTTTTTGTGCATTGTTGTTGTTTAAAGCCCTTTTTTTAGATTTGATAAATCCAAATATAAAGGAATCAGATTGAAGTACTCAGAGAAATGCAGTAATCAATACTGAAAAATAAATGTTCACAAATCATTTGGAATGTGTTTTAGAAGATAGATAATTGTTGTATGGATTTGTTTTTGCATTTTTTAAAGAAGTATTTGCGCGCGTCTTCCAAGATTTTGTTTCTGTGATACTGCACATAGTATCACGCATCTGCATTTCTTCCTGTGTCAGATAGTACTGATTATGCCTCGTGATGGTAGCTTCATCCATGAAGTTGGGAGATCTGTTATCTGTATAGTAGATGTGAACAAATATGCTATGCGATTTTTGTAACACCAATTCATGTAGTTTATGGTTGTTTTATGGTTTTCTTTTGTGTCTCAGCGACAAATGCACTTCTTATCGTAATATGATGTTTATAAGGTTAATATTAATTTATATATTTTATCTGCTGTTTCTTCGAATCATTTTTTATTGACTTAGTGTTTGTTATAAAAGTTTATGTAACTTTTCAGTTGTATAGTACCCATCATTGTCTGTATATGTTGTCCCAGTTATCTTCGTCGGGTGTTTGGTTTGACACACACTATTGGTTTTCTGATAAGGTTTGTTCTGGGAACTTCATTTCCTTGATGCTTTGATGGGTGCACCTAAGCTGAAGTGGACTCCTGAAGAAGAAGTTGCTCTTAGAGCTGGGGTCCTTAAATATGGGCCAGGCAAATGGCGTACAATTCTTAAGGATCCAGAATTTAGTGGAGTGTTGTATCTGCGTTCAAATGTAGATCTCAAGGTAGAATTTCGCTTTATTCTTTTCTTTTTTAATTAGTTTTATTCAGTGGAGAGGAAGTTTAGATGTTTCAAGAGTCAGATGATAGTTGTCCAGTATATTCAATTTTCTATAGCTACTTATTTGACCTGAAGTCTTTTTCACAATAATGTATCTTTGAGATGATGTGCAGGACAAGTGGAGAAATATGACTGTGATGGCAAACGGCTGGGGTTCTCGAGAGAAAGCAAAGTTGGCCCTCAAAAGGATGATTCAGGCCCCTATGCAGGGTGAGAGTTCTGCGGCTGTTACCTCGGAAGCTGAAAGTGATGCGGAAATTCCTGAAGCATGGCCAGCCACAACTTCTAGAGGCTCTCCACAGCATGGTGGTTCAAGAAGATCTATCCTAAGGTTATACCTGTTCGTGCATCTTAGTTGTTACAGCACGACCCTCATGTTGTAATCTTGTGGATTTTGTTGTGTTTATTGATATCATTAGATGTTGGTTTTTCCCCTATTGTCTTGCTTACAAGAATTTTGCTGTCTCAAAATGTGGTTACAGACATAAGTTTAGCTAGTTATTCGGCATTCTGAAGCTGTCCCCTAGACCTCGTACCTAAAAAGAATGGATGTTTATCAAAAGGTCATCAACTTTCTATCTACTTAGTCAGTATAACAATTATAAACTAGCATTAGTGGCATTTCATGTTATTCTTATGTTATTTATATGTTTACTTTGGAGGAATAATCTTCTCTAAGTCCTGCTCATTTGTTATTCTTATAGGTTGGATAATCTTATAATGGAGGCTATAAGCAACTTGAATGAGCCAGGTGGTTCCTACCAGGCGACCATTTCTACGTACATAGAGGTACTTGTCTTCTTATTTAGCTTCATATGGGAGAACCAAACATACAAAATTTGGAGAAGTATTTCATTAATTACCATTCACAGCTTTCTTATTGATTTTGAAGGACCTGTAGTGTATGTACTTTGATTTTGGAGTTTTGCTTCTTGTTTTGCGGATTTGTCATTCCTAACTATCTGGATGGTGTTTGGTGATTCTTGCATATTTTCTTTTAGGTATTCTTGGAGTCAGTATAACCAAACCTTAATGTGATTAAAGAGTCAACTGCATTTGAAGTGGACTTGCAGAATACCGCATAGATGGGTCCTAGAGTATGTCTACATTTTGATATATATGGAATGGTGCATTGGCCAACTGTAACATGAACCTGATAGTGCTATATTGTGCTAAATTAACATTATTTTATGTATTTTCTTAATTTCCTATATTATGAGATGGTCCCCATTCCCAAAAAGGGCTTTCCTAATCAGGTCTCCCATGATAATAGTTGGTTCGTCTACCCTGACCATAACACAGAACTTTCTGGTAAATTTGTTTCTTAACAATAAGGTGATGAAGGTCATGTAAGAAGTTTAAATAAGCCAAACAGGTTAATACTGCTGCAATTTCACTTCCTAGCAAAATCATGACTTATTGCTAGATATGTCAGTTTATTTTCTCAAATACTTACTCCCCCTCCCCCCAAATCCCATTTTGTAGGACCAGTACTGGGAAACTCCAAACATTAGAAGGCTACTCTCAGCAAAGCTGAAGTATTTAACTGCAACTGGAAAACTCATAAAGGTGATTTTCAGTTATGTCCTTCATGTTTTCTAGTTATTGCACATCTTGCCCTAAGCTTATACTGTGAAGTAAGCCAGTGAGAATTAGCACTTTGGTTCAAGTTTTTGAATAATTGGTTGTTACTGGTTCTCGTCATGGTTGATCATAATACTCGCAGTATAGTTCTTCTGCAGATGAAGCGGAAGTATAAAGTGGCACCTAAATTGACATTCGCCAACAAAAGAAGAAACCTCCCCCTTCCCCTCCTGGATAGCAGTCAGAGGATCTGTTCTAAGGTTGATCAGGATGACATAAACATGCTAACTAGATCTCAGATAGATTTAGATTTAGAGAAGATGAAGAATATGTCACCTCAAGAGGCAGCTGCTGCTGCTGCACAAGCAGTTGCAGAAGCAGACACAGCTACAGCCGAAGCTGCGGAGGCTGCCAGGAAGGCTGAGGCTGCCGCAGCTGAAGCCGAAGCTGCACAAGCATTTGCAGAAGCTGCAATGAAAACACTACAAGAGAGAAGCATCCCAAGGATGGTAAGACATTTTCCCCTCTCCTTTCTTTCTTTTCTTTTTCCTTTTCCTTTGAGCTTGGAGTCATTTTGGGTCAATGTTTAGAAATCATCGCTTGGAACAACGTTGGTACCATTTTGTATTATTTTCAGTTCACCTTCAACTTTATTTGAGATGAAATGTTGCAACCTTGAAAATAAATGTGGCTACTTCAGTTTGTTTTCTCAACAATGCCGATATAGACTTTAGCATAAGGAACAGAGATGGGAACTATCTTATCGCCAGGCATAATCTCCCCCTGACAGAAATAGTTTCTGTTTTAACCTCACTCACTTGGCCAATGTACTGTTGTCATTTACCATCTGTTTAAATTTAAATAGTCAATAAATTGCTTCACCTAGCTCTGAAAGATACAATCTGAATTACCAGTAATGTGGTGAAAATGAGAAGCTATAGGGATCACATACTTTAGCATTCTACTTATCTACTTATTATGGCACATGAGAGATTTTTGAACTCTCACTCTTTTTTTATAATGAGACCCTTTTTGTGCTTCTTTCCTTTCTTGAAGCGGAGGGGGTTTGATGTTGGGGAGAGATTTTAAAGGCAGGCATGGTGAGGTGTGAGGAAGCTTCTAAACCGTATCTTCCTTAGTGGGTAATCTTGAGTTAAGGCACAAGCAGTGATATGCATCTGTACACGAACGCACACACATTTAGTTGTTTGTTTTTTTAATCTCTTTAAATGTGTGTACTTGTCAATGCAAATATGATGTAGACGTCTTTTAAGTTGATTAGGAGGGTATGGTACCTACTTAGTGCTAACTCTGTCATAGTTGATTGAATTTCAGCTATGTAGTTTACTGTGTCTCAATGCAGCAATTTATTAATCCTCTCGTTTGTTGCATGAATGCCTGGTCACTACTTGTTTCTTATTCCCATTTTTAATTGTTACTCCACCTGAAAATGTGTAGATGATACGGACTTGATTGAACTTACAGAGGTTGTGCTAGATATACGCGTTAGAGCTTTGCTGGATTTTCTATTTTGATTTTTTTGTTTGCTCAGCTAACTCACTTGTTATTGTTAGCTTGTAAATATGGTAAAGAAGTTCGTTGGAATGGAATAATCCCCAGCATGTTGTTAGCACTGATGTCTTTCTGATGGTAGCAACTTGTATCTCATTTTCACCCGGAGGAGGCTGACGAGCAGTTTCTGGTAGCTGGTGGAGTTCTCTGCAGACTGCGTGTTACGGGTAGGAACCCATTAATAATGTGGTAAGGGTGATCATGTTGTTCTTGATGTTCTTGTTTTTGTTGGGTTGAGCTTTTGTTACTAAATACTTGCCCGTTGAAAAGAGTATAGAGGACTTTGATTGACAAAGTTAGGTTGACATTTTGAGAGTTGTATAGTTTGTCTCCTGTGTTTGCCTCTTAATCTCACGGTATACCTACAAAATTTGTAATTGTACATAACAATATCATTGGAAGTTATCTCGAATTGTAGAGCTCAGTGATATTTCCTCATTATACCAAGACAAGATGGTATGCTCGCTAACCGGAAGCTTTTATGGATGGTCAGTTGACTGTTTCCTCATCCTTATTTTGCTTTGTTGTTTTGTAGTTTCCTATTGCATAATCCTTACTTCCAGCTTAGAAAAAGCATTGAAGCCCTTATACTTCTATATGGCAAATGACAATAAGCAAAGATGATCCACTTGGACTTTACTTTCTACCGAAGCACATTTTATTACATGGCTTTATTCTACTTACATCCTTTACATGGTTAACAATTCTGTATTGCATCGCCAAATCTTTGAGTTTGTGCTGGGATTTTTCTCAAAATTGGGGGACAGCACCAGATAAATGGAAGTGCAATAGATTAAGCAAATTTGAAGCAACCTTTACTATTACATATCAAAGAGAAATCCATAAGAAGCCTTACAAGTTATAACCAAAATGGAAAAGGATTAATAAGATATTCCATGACAACAAAATCAAGTACTACTAAAGTGAAGCTGAAGCGTTGATTGGCAAAATATAAAAGAGGGACCATGATGAGGGAATTCCTCAGCCAGTTCTCTTCTTCCCTAATAGTATTTCATTCAACAAGCAAGCAGTGCGATCATATTTTCAAAGGTCAGACTTCGAGCTAGCCATAAACGTCAGTTAAGTCGTGTTTCGAGAGATCTTGAACGTTAATATAGAAGAACATGGAAAATTTATAAATTTAATTTAGATCCTAAAAATAAGTGTATTTTGAACATTATTTTAAAGGAACAAGAATAATTTCAAAACTTTGATTCCCAAAAGTCTCTGCATTTTTCGAATGCTAAGATTTTGTCTCGGCACATGAAAATGATATATCGTGGCCCCTTGTGCATAAGTGAAGACATGAATAGAACAAAGGAAATTGTGCTTTGTGCCACAATATTGTTAGACTGAACTAGGAGAAAGCAAAGCAATCCAACATAAATCTAGAGTCGGACTGCTTTAACCCACATTTCGTCGTGGTTCCTTCATCAGTCGTAAGTCATCATCTTCTTTACATTTTATTATTGGACGTTCTCCTCTCGTTTTCTCCTTTTGCTTCTTCAGTTGGTTATTTGATGACATATTTTGCACTTTCAACGAACGTCAGAATGAACTTTACTAAATTGTCAAAATCTTCGTCATTCAGCACAAAAGAGGGCATTTAGTCTAGTGGTATGATTCTCGCTTTGGGTGCGAGAGGTCCCGAGTTCAATTCCCGGAATGCCCCCACTATTATTTTGCCACTGTTTTACTTGCTTTGGTTAAGATAAAAACCGAAGCAATTAGCAGCCAATGAACGAGAATAGCTCAACAAACGCTATCCATTGTTTGAATTGGTAACTGAAAATTAGGAAAGTTCAGAATTTTCATCTTTTCTCCCCTTTTCAAATTTCGTGATACGATACTCGAATTTTATTTGGTAAAAGTGTTATGTGGAGGAAGAGGCAAACCTGAAAATAAAACAATAAGAGGGTTACAAAAGTTCTCCAAATTGGCTACACAACAAGTGCCAAACACGGAGCAACAATAGCAACAACTAATCAATTGAAGAAAGAGGAGAATCCACAAAAACGAAGCTGTTGTTCGAGGCTCGAAATCAGATGCTACAAGCCTCCAAATCCGATCTTCACCGTTCAAATCCAAGATCAAGATGTTATAAACACTCAGTCAAAATTTTAGCCCGATCCAACGGTTAACGAATCGTTAAACGTGATTTGAAGTTAGCTAGTCGGAATAAAAATCTGCAGCAAAACAAATATTTTTCTTCTCTCTTCTCTTTTGATGAAAGCTCTCTAAAAAATCACTCTTATGTGCTTAAGTCTTTCAAAGACTTGTATCAATAAGCATAGAAGAATTTTTCAAGGTTGTCCTATTTATAGATCATGAGTGGTGCTTTCTCTTAAAGCCAAAACCCACTCAAAATAGGAATAAACCGAATCCAATTCCGAATAGGATTGGAAACCAAAAGAGAATAAGATTAGGTCATTGGGTCTTTGGCTAGACAACATGGGCATGTGCCCAACAAACTCCCCCTCCAGCCAAGGGGCCAAATGTGTCTTCAAGTAGAGGAACTATTGACATGCTTCATGCCTACCAATTTTCTACAAAATTCATGTTTATCTGCAACCACCGCCTTTGTCAGCATATCCGAAGGATTTTCATCAGTGTGTATCTTCTCAACCTCAAATAATTTCTCTTCCATGACCATTCTTATCCAATGATACTTTCTATTTATATGTTTGGTCTTATAATGAAAAATGGAGTGCTTGGTGAGATAGATAGCACTCTGATTATCACAAATAAAATGTACATTGGCTGCTTAAAGCCAAGATCATCAATAAACTCCTTCATCCATAATAGTTCTTTGGCATCTTCTGTGACATCAATATATTCGGCTTCTGTGGTGGATAGAGCTATGCACTTCTGTAGTCTAGATTGCCAAGAAACAGCTCCCCCTGCAAAGGTGATCAAATAACCGGAAGTGGATCTTGAATTATCAAGATTGCCTCATAAATCAGAGTCTGTGTAACAAACAAGTTCAGGCTTGCCATTGCCAAAGCACAACTTTAAATCTGCAGTACCTTTCAAATACCTTAAATATCCATTTTATTGCATCCCAATGTTCTTTTCCGATTAGAAAGGAATCTACTAACAGTACCAACGACATGTGCAATATCTGGTCTAGTGCAAACCATAGTATACATTAAGCTACCAATGACAGAAGAGTAAGGAATACGAGACATCTCATTTTTCTCTTCATCGGTAGATGGACTCTGACTAATACTCAATTTGAAGTGTTTAGCAAGAGGAGTACTAACCATTTTTGCATCTGTCATATTGAACCTCTTGGGTACCTTCTCAATGTATTGCTTTTGGGACAGAAATAACCCATTTCTATCTCTGTGTCGTTGGATTTGAATGCCCAAGATTTTCTTTACTGGCCCCAAGTCCTTCATCGCAAACGATTTGCTCAACTGCTTCTTAAGGACTACAATTCTGGATTTATTCTTGCCAATAATAAGCATGTCATTCATATAAAGCAATAAAATAATAAAATCATCATCAGAGAACTTCTGGAAGAATACACAGTGGTCTGAAGAAGTTTTCTTGTACCCTTGTTCTTCTATGACAGATTCAAACTTCAAATACCATTGTCTTGGAGCTTGTTTCAATCCATACAAGCATTTTTTCAATTTGCATACATAATTTTCTTTTCCCTTAGTTACAAAACCCTTAGGTTACTCCATATAAATCTCCTCATCTAAATCACCATGAAGGAAAACAGTCTTGACATCCATCTGCTAAACCTCTAAATCTAGACTTGCAGCTAAGCCTAGAACCACACGAATAGAAGACATCTTCACAACAGGGGAGAAAATTTCATCAAAGTCAACTCCCTTATTTTGGCCAAAACCTTTAACAACTAATCTCGTCTTGTATCTTGGCGCAGAGGTATGGTTACCTTGCTTTATTCAGAATATACATTTGTTAGATAAAGCTCTCTTACCTTTCAGCAATTTCACTAACTCATATGTGCCATACTCATAGAGTGACTTCATCTCATCTTCCATCACTTCGATCCACTAATCTTTGTGAGTATCTTGCATGGATTCATCATAATTCTCAGGTTCTCCCATGTCAGTCAAAAGTACATACTCTTTAGGAGGATAGCGCATGGATTTTTGCTTCTCCCTTGTAGATCTTCTAAGAGAGGTTTCAGGAGCATTCGAAGTAGTTACCTGTGCAGGAATTGGTTGTTGATCAACCATAACTTCATCAACTGGAGCATCCATAACATCTACACCATGATGATCATTTTGATCTTGATCACTATCTCCATCATTGTCTTGGGTTCCTTCATGTGCAATAGGTGCCTTAGCAATTGAAACTGGATCAATATCAACTAAGCTCTCATTACTCTGAGAATCTATCTTCTCAGCTTTGTCAATATCTTCAATAGTTTGGTCTTCAAAGAATATTGCATCACGACTTCTAATAATTTTATTGTCAACTGGATCATAAAAATGATACCCAAACTCATCTTGACCATAACCGATAAAGATGCACTGCTTAGTTTTGACATCCAGTTTCGATCTCTCATCTTTAGGAACATGCACACAAGCTTTACACCCAAAAACTCTCAGGTGATCATAAGAAACATCTTTGGCAAACCAAACTCTGTCTGGGACATCACCATCCAAAGCGACTGCAGGAGACAAATTGATAACATAGGCAACAGTGTTAAGTGCTTCCACCCAAAATGTATTTGGAAGTTTAGCCTCTGAAAGTAAGCATCTAACTCTCTCAACTAGAGTTCTATTCATCCTCTCTGCCAAACCATTCAATTGAGGTGTCTTGGGCGGAGTTTTCTGATGACGAATTCCTTTTTCCTTACAATAGTTATCAAAGGGACCACAATATTCACCGCCATTATCAGTGTGAATACATTTTAATTTCTTCCTCGTCTGTCTCTCAGCTAAGATTTGAAATTCCTTAAACATGCTAAATGCTTGATCTTTAAATTTCAAAGGATACACCCAGAGCTTACGA